CACACGGCTAAGTGACTAAGGATTCTTTTGAAATCCGAGTGGCGTATTCCATTTACTTGACAGCACAATGCTCAGAGCCAGCCGCTGGACCATCGGGGGTGAAGCCACCCTCTCCTACCGCCCAGCTGTGTGGTGTGGCTCTCCTCAGGTTTCTTTACCTCTTTGTGTTGTCTTCTTACCTGGAAAATGGGGGTAATAACTATGCATTTCAAGGAGCCGTGGTGAGACAGTCAGTGAGTTAGTATGAAGCGCTGGGTGGAGAGCCAGGAGCACAGTCGTGCAGTGGGCGGGGCTCGTCTCTGCCTTGAGGTGCGTCTTGTGAAGTAGCGCCGTTCAGGGAAGAGGGGATTCTGCTCCACAGCTGTTGAGCCAGCTGAAGGGGGTCCAGCATTTCTGCTCTTTGCCAATAACCGTGAGCATTTTGTCACAATTCCTGCCCCCAGCGCCTGGCAATCATCAGCCTGCTTTCTGTCTCTATGGGTTTACCTGTTCTTGGTATTTCATATAATATGTGGCCTTTTCTGTGGCATAATGTTTTCAAGGCTGCTAGTTCCCTTAAGATTCTCTATGCTGAATGCATTTGTATCAAGCTAATTGAATTCTTTTCCTAGAAATACGAAGCAGATGGAAAAAAAAGTCCTTTTCTTTCCATTCAGTATTAAATATCAGGGGTCATTTTTCTGGTCATTTTCTGTTTTTCCAACAGCACTCTCAGCTTCCACCATCCCAGAAGACGTTAACCACCCAACCATATCATCAGGTACGTCGATGAGCTATAAATAAAAAAACAAAAAATGGGTGTGATACATTGCACATGCCACTTCCAGCCTTCTAAGCCCATAGGAAGGGTGAGTGGAATCTCACAGCCAGGGAAAATTCACGACCAAGGGCACTCAGGACAATGGTGATGCCCAATGTCACCTTCAGCATCGATTTTAAGCTCCACAAGGACAAGGGTTTCATCTGCCTTGCTCATCATGGCATCTCTAGCACCTATTACAGTGCTTGGCACATTATAGGCACCTAATAAAAGTTTATTGAATCAATGAATGAATGTGCAGGCAGAGCGTGTGCAGACAGGCTGTTTGGCCCCCTTCAGGGTCAACTTTGGTCTTGACTAAGAACAGTCCTTCTAGACAGTGCACAGTAGAGGCAAAATTTCTCTGCTCTAAGAGACACAAGCACCACCCTGGAAAATGCCAGTAGCCCCTATTTGTGCTAATCTCCCTCCTCAGAAAGAAGTATTAGGATTTTACACGTGTGAACACTAATGAAGCCAGTCCTTCTAGCAACTATTTTTTTTATTTTTCAGCCTCAGCAGATAATGAAATGTTACCAACTGTCTTACCAGGTAGAGCAGTGCTCCCATCACTAATCCCATAGTACATACCTTACCATCCAAATGGGAGGTACGAGCAGATGGATCATGTCACTAGGTTAGATAATGTCCTCCATGGGGTCATCCATTATAATCAGCATCCTTATGATACAATGATTTTTAAAACTTTTGCGTAATTCTTCAATGACTTATTGTACTGCTGCTCAGCACCCCAGTATAGAACCTGGAGTTGATGTTGGGTTAAAAGGAGGCGAGGCATTTGGGAGCAACAGGATGACATTTAGGAGCTTTCTGTCAGCCACCTGAACTTGACTCCAACCTCATTAGAGAGCAAGTCGTTCTTTATTGGCATGTGGCCAGTCCAGATGTTGTAGTGAGGTGGGGGCATAGCTCGTGGCTCCTCACCAGTTGAGTCTTTTCCTGATGTGTTCTTGTATCTGTCTCAAGAGAAGTTTTGGTCCTAACCATGGTTTCCATGTTGTTCTAGAGCTACCTGTGGTCGACTTGCCATCTCTGAGTCACAGAGCTGATGATCTTTGGCCCAGTTCATCAGGTAGCCAACTTACTCACAGCACATGCCATTGCACTCGCGAACCCCAGGGGGGACCATCACAACTGGGAAGGGAGCCTGGGGAGCTGCCCAGTCAGAGGTTTCAGAGGTGCACTGGGAAGGACCATCGTAAGGGGGAAAGGATCACGGTCCCCAGGACTGGGGCTGAGGAGCTGTGCTTCCTACTTGTTTTTGGCACCTAGTCATCCTGGTCATCCAATTTTCCTTCTGTTCCAGAGAAACATTTTAAAGCTCAGACAACACAGGGAATAAGAAAGCAAATAACAATGTCCTCTTTACCTACACGTGACTGGTGTGCATATTTTGTTATATTAGTTTTCCAGTCTTATCAAGAAATAAAAATTACAAATACATTTGAAGTTTCCCAAATCCCCCAATCCCACTCTCTAGTTTCTCCTTCTTCAGAGACACTATCTTGAATTTAGTATATATCTTTATAGTTCATTTTTAATATTTTTACAAATGTGAATTATGTGATCTCTATATATGTTATTTTGTTTTTCTTTCACACAAATGATATTGATTCCTATATATCATTCAGTGCCTTTTGCTCTTTACTCACTGTTATATTTTTGAGATTCATCCATGTTGAGATAGATATAGATATGGAATATATATATTTGACTGTTTTTAACTGCTATAGTGTTACATTTTTTTAATCAACCACTTAATTTATGCATTTCATCACTGACAGAAATACATTTTCTAAATTTTTCATGTCTGCCCGGCTGATATCAAGTCCTAAATTACCAATGCATGAGAAATACACATTCTAAAATCTAATCTGCCTTGTTGAGTGACTAGTAAAGGGCACATCACAGTGGTATAATTATTAAGCAGATTTTTCCTAGAATATTCTTATGCACATGGAGTAATTGAAAGATTCCCCCTAATTTGTAAGCTAGGCAAATAAGACAAGTTCAAGAGATAAGTTGCAAAAATATACCTTTATATTCATTTCCACAGAAGCCTGGCCCATGCTGAGGCTCGTTAACGGCAGTGGAAGGTGCTCTGGATGGGTGGAGGTTTTCTACCAGGGCAACTGGGGTTCGGTGTGTAGTGACGGCTGGGGTCTGAAGGAGGCGCACGTCGTGTGCAGGCAGCTTGGATGCGGTCAGGCAGTGTCTGCCTCCCTGGGTACCCACTTCAGCCCTGGCTTTGGGAAGATTCTCCTGGACAATGTGCACTGCAGTGGTGAGGAGAGGCACCTGGCCCTGTGTGCCCACGACACCTGGTTCACTCACAACTGTGACCACCAGAACGCCGGAGCCATCTGCTCAGGTGAGGGTCTATTTTCACTCTAAATGCCTCATGGACAGAATGGGTCATTACAAAACATGAGAAAATGCACCAGTGACCTCCTACTGTGAGAGCTAATGGTTTCCTCTCTCCACACTAACAGTCTCCTCCTCCCCAGATAAGATTGATTTGGGCTATATCTATGTCCCATTGTACTTGCTTCTAGTTCTAATATTTGTTCTGTGTGGAAGAAATGGAATGAAAATAACCCTGTTAAATCAAGCTTTGAGTAGCTTGCAGAGGCTGGTTTGATTGGTTCAGATCGCTTAAAGCTTAAAAGGCTTTCTCAGTCTGTATGTCAACCCACCACAAGAGAAGGGATTCAGAACAAAGATGTGTGGCACTGACCTTGTTCTCCTGCATTCATGCTTTCCTGCTCCAGGAAAGCTGCTAATCCTGAACTGAATGGCCCCTCTTCTGGGCAGTTGCTGGAGGGTAGATCCTTGGAACCATTTAGGGTGTGGCTTAGCCAAGGGCTCAATACTAAAGAGTAACATCCGCAGAAGTGAGTTTGGAATGAGTTAGCTGTACACAGTCTCCTGGGTGCAGGAAACTTCCCAAATCAAAACTAAATAACCAGGCAGCTGCAGGAAAGACAGGACTCTTCAGGGGCCATTGCAGGACTATAATTAGTAGTCACTGACTTTAGGATATAGTTTTCTATGACTAGGACTATCAATCATCACAAATCATCTCTCTGAGAGAAAAATTACTTCCCAGAGTGATTAGATCAGTAAATCATCCTTTTGGAGTCTGTGAGGTCTGATCCTTCCTAATAGGCAAAGAAATGACATCAGTTTAAAAATTATAGTTATGTGATTTTTAGAGTAAGTCTGCCACTAGGAAAAACCATGAGGTCATTGCAATCCTTTTTTTTAATCCAAAGTAGTGTTTTTTTTAACTTAACTGTCCATCAGAATTATGTCAAGAGCTTATTAAAATACATACTGTTACACCCCACCCAGAGTTTCTGATTCAGTACGCTTAGAGTGGGGTGTGAAAATTTGTATATCCAGCAAGTCCAGGGTGCTTATACTGTGATCTGATGACCAGAATGTCACAACTGCTGTCTTAAAACAAAAAAGTAATCTTTCTTTTCCTAATAAACAGAAGCAGAATTATC